GGACTGCGGAGGGTGCCACAAACATTCAGCCAAGTACTAATGAGCAAGTGTTGAGGAAACTACCTACACATGGTCCACTGTCGATGAACCTCAAAATAATTATGCTGAATGAAAGAAGACAGATTTTTTTTTAAAAAGTGCATAACTGTATACCTCCATTTATATAAGATTTTACAAACAGCAACTAATCCATAATGCCACAAAGCTATTGGAGGGTGACAGGAAGGGAGGGGCATGAGGGAAAGACCACGCTGGAATACAAACTTTTGGGAGTGATGGTTATGTTCACTATCTTGATTAAGGAGATGATTCACAGACTTTTACCTATGTCAAAACTTACTACATTGTATACTTTAAGTACATGTAGTTTATTTTGTCAGTTATACTCCAATAAAGCTTTTTTAAGACTGCATTTAAAAATAATAAATGTTGAACATTCCTAATCCAAAATCTGAAATGCTTCAAAATATGAAATAAGGAAATGCTCATTGGAGTAATTTGGATTTCAGATGTTCATATTAGGGATGCTCAACTGGTATGTCTTCTTCAAATATTCAAAAAAAATGTGAAATTTGAACAATTCTGGTCCCAAGCATGTTAGATAAGGGATACTCCCTGTACAAATAAAACACAGTTGGCTGGGGGTGGTGGCTCACACCTGTAATCCCAGCACTTTGGGAGGCCGAGGTAGGTGGATCACCTGAGGTCTCGAGTTCAAGACCAGCCTGGCCAACATGGTGAAACCCTGTCTCTACTAAAAATACAAAAAAATTAGCCAGGCGTGGTGGCACGTGTCTGTAGTCCCAGCTACTCAGGAGGTTGAGGCCAGAGAATTGCTTGAACCCAGGAGGCAGAAGCTGCAGTGAATTGAGATCATGCCACTGTATTCCACCCTGGGCGACAGAGACTTCATTTCAAACAAAACAAAACAAAATACACGGAGTACCCTCTCTCTCAGGGTTGTCCTGAGAAAATGAATGGAAGGGAGCAAGCCCAGATAATCTCTTTGCAACTTTCCCAATTCAGACTATCTTTACCAAGATGATTGGTGTTCTAAGGTGTTTTTCAGTTTTATAGATATGTTGCTAGGATCTATGTGGTCAATTACTGCTCTTGATATAACTTTATGCAATTTTTTGTTTTAGGACTCATGAATCAAGCAAGCAAACATGAAAAATGGATTAAGGCTGATGCTCCAAAAGGGACTGTAAGTTTTAGAAGGCAAAGCTGGTTTCAGTCCCTAAAACTGTAGGACTAAGATTGATTTGAGGTTGTAGTTATGATTTTTTAAAAATGATTTGCATACCTGTGACTACAAAAATGTAAATACCACTGTTCATATACATGTTGAAAAGAACAAATTGAGAATGAATACTGGTGAACTGTTTTGGTAGGCTTTTTCAAAATTTGTAGTTGTCTATTGTATTCATTTTCTACTGATCTGTAACAAATTACCACAAATTTAGCAGCATAAAATAATATTCATTTACAGCTCACATTTCCATAAGCCAAGAGCCCAGCCCAGTATGGCTAGGTTCTCTGCTCAGGGAATCACAAGTCTGGAATCAAGATTTTGGCCAGACTGAGTTCTCATCTGGAGTGTCTGGGAAGAAATCTACTTCCAAGTTCATTCAGATTACTGAGAAAATCCAGTTCCTTGTGACTGAATGACTGAGGTCTCCATTTTCTTGCTGGCTGTCAGCCAGCAATCACTCTAAGCTTCTAGAGGCCACCCACATGTCTTCTCATGTTGCCCTTCCATCTTTAAGCCTGCAGTGATGAACTGAGTTCTTCTCATGCTTTGAATATCTGACTTCTGCAACCAGCTGGAAGAATATATACTTTTAAAGGGCTCACTTGATTAGGTCAGGCCCACCCAAGATAACCTTTGTTTTGTCATATAATGTAACATTCATGGGAGTGATGGCCTATCACATTCAGTTTCCACTCCCACTCAAGGGAAGGAGATTATACAAAGGCATTTGTCATAGGGCAGTGCAATTAGCTTAAAATTTTTTATAATGTAAAACATCTCTAACATGACATGTTTTCTACTTAATACCTCTTATGCCATCAATGTAAATTTAAACTGTGAATAAAAAACATATGTGAAGCATTTGCTACTGATTCTTAATAACTTTTGTGTAATTTAAGATATAGTTCATTAGGAGGAAAGAAACAGCTTTTTTATAGCCTGATATATGAAAATAGATTTTTATAATGGTATACTGTATAAAGATATTTTATGAATTCCATTTCTTTCAAACATCTCTATTCCTGGAACATTTAAATTATATAATACTGGCTGGGCACAGTGGCTCATGCCTATAATCCCAGCATTTTGGAAGACAAAGGCATGTAGATCATTGAGGTCAGGAGTTTGAGACCAGCTTGGCCAACATGGTGAAACTCCATCTCTACTAGAAATACCAAAAAAAAAAAAAAAAAAAAAATTAGCAGGGCATGGTGGCTCATCCCTGTAATCCCAACTATTCAGGAGGCCAAGGCAGGAGAATCAATTGAACCTGGGAGGTGGAGGTTGCAGTGAGCCGAGATCACACCACTGCACTCCTGCCTGGGTGACAGAGTGAGACTCTGTCCAAAATAATTAATCAATTAATTAATTAAAATAAATAAATAAGTTATATAATACTGACTAGACCTATCTCTTAGTGATGTAGTTTGGATATCTGTCCCCCAAAATCTCATGCTGAAATGTAACCCCCAATGTTGGAGTGGGGCCTGGGCGGGGGTGATTGGATCATGCAGGCAGATTTCTCATTGTTACTACCACCTTCTTGGTTCTGTCCTCATGATAGTGAGTTCTTACACGATCTGTTTAAAAGTGTGGGCATCTTCCCCATCTCTCTCTTGTTCCTGCTCTTGCCATGTGATGTTTCTGCTCCACTTTGCCTTCTGCCATGAGTAAAAGCTCCCTGAGGCCTCCCTAGAAGCCAAGCAGATCCCTGTGCAATGGTTGCACAGCCTGCAGAACCAATTAAACCTCGTGAGTCAATTAAACCTCTTTTCTTTATAAATCACCCAGTCTTAGATATTCCTTTATAACAAAACAAGAATGGCCTAAATCACTTGGATTATATTTTTTATGATGAAGACAAGTCTCTTTTTTTTTTTTTTTTTGAGACAGGATCTTGCTTTATCACTTAGGCTGGAGTGCAGTGGCACAATCTTGGCTCACTGCAACTTCTGCCTCCCAGGTTCAAGAGTCTTGTGCCTCAACCACCAGAATAGCTAGCATTAACAGGCACATGCCACCATGCCCAGCTAATTTTTGTATTTTTACTAGAGTTATCTCTAGTAAAAATGTCACCATGTTGGCCAGGCTGGTCTTGAATTCCTGGCCTTAAATGCCTGCCTCAGCCTCCCAAAGTGCAACGATAACAGGTGTGAGCCAGTATGTTGGGCTAGGAGAAGTCCATTCGTAAACACTAATTTTTAACAAACCTTTCCAAATATCATGATTTATGATGATCTTTTCCTTTTTTTCAGATGAGGTCTTACTCTGTTGCTCAGGCTGGAGTGCAGTGGCATGATCATAGCTCACGGAAGCCTTGAGCTCCTGGTCTTAGGCATTCTCCTGTCTCAGCCTCCTGAGTAGCTGGGATTATAGACAGGTACCACCACACCTGCTCTAATTTTTTAATTTTTGTAGAGATGGGTCTTACTATGTTCATCAGGTCTCAAACTCCTGGCCATAAGCTGTCCTTCTGCCTTGGCCTCCCAAAGTGCTGCAATTATAGACATGAACCACTGTGCCCAGCCTCTTTTTCATTAATATTCCATGTTTTTTAGAGTTCTGTTTTTAACTTCTTATTTATGAAACAAAAGTTGGCTTTATAGCCTATCTCAACATCTCCTTTTAGTTCACCCTTCATTAAATCAGAATGAATACAAATTTGAAAGATACTTAAATATTGGTATATTTGGTATGGTTGTGGTGTGTTATACTATTAAGTAGAGGAAACTGTGAGGCATTGAGGCAATTTTTATCATCTTTTTTCACCTTCATGCAATTATATAAACATTTTCATGACGAAAAATAAATTAGCCGGCCGGGTGTGGTGGCTCACGCCTGTAATCCAAGCACATTGGAGGCCAAGGCAAGCTGATCACCTGAGGTTGGGAGTTCAAGACCAGCCTGACCAACATGGTGAAACCCTGTCTTAAATAAATAAATAAATAAATTAGCCAACCACAGCCAGGAAAGTCATAAGCATAACAGCAGTCAACAATGGAATTATACATATTTGGATCACATTGTTAAGTCCCAGACAAAAAGAAAAAGCTGCCGTATTTTACGCTCCTGGACACAGACCTATGAATATGAAATGCTTAAGGGCTAAAGACCTAACTAATATCTTTGATATTTTGAGGACTTTGCACTGAGAACTTAAAAGATTTCTCTACCTGTAACCTTTACTTCTTGGTCTTCTTTCATAGCTCACTTTTTCTACTCCTTTTCTTCATGTACGTAGCTATAAAATTTGTCTCCCCAGGATGAATGAATGTGTCTTCTGTTCTTGTTTAAAAGAGGATGTTACTCAAAGAGCTTTGGAGCAAGCTCTGAATATAAAGCAACCTGCTAGGTTTCTGGAGAACACAACAGGGTGTGTTTCTTACTGTGGTTTCCCCAGTGCAGCTGTCATTCCTGTAGAAAGCAATTGCCTCTTTTATAAGTTTCTCCAGTTGTGTGCATAAGGCACTTAGGGATCAGATTTTTGAAATCAACTCTAATGCAGCCACCAGAAATTTCCAAATTTAGGTTAAAATTGTACTCTTATGTCATCTTATGTCTCTTGGCTATGGTCCTAAAACTTCCTACTGAAATGATTCTGTTACCAGTGTGTCCACTCCCAGGAAACTTTCCAGAGCTAAGTAACACTACCTTATTTCAAAAACTACAAATAAACCTCAGTGGGGGATAATTGCTAAACGCATTTAGCCAACACAAGGTAACCTCTAATAATACTTTGTACAGTCTTTTCAAAATAACAATGCTTTATCTTAAGTTTTTAATCCTTATTTGAAATTTGTGGTAAACAAAAAGATAACTAAATCCATGTGAGAGATAAGTAATTGAGGAAACAGAAAGGTTAAGACTGATCTGGTATTACTGACACAGCTTGTTTGTGGCAGTCAAAACAGAGTTGTGCTTTCTCCTGGACTGTGTCAACATCAGTGTTATATAATATCAACTAATAGTAAAAACCCACAGATTAAAGCTTAGTAAAATTTAATATGTAGATATGCAATTAATAACCCTTACTTACTAGCATAAAATTGAGGGGGCATCTTTTTTGGCATAGCATAGTTTTAAGAATTCCTCCATGGTTCAAATTTGATTAAAGAGATATCTTTCTGAGACATTGCAGGGACATTCTTTCTATTCAGATATTCTTGTTTCTATTTAATTTGCCCCTGACTGCTAAGTCAAATGTTAAGTCCAGAGTTAATTGGTGGCATTTAGTTCTCTTTTGTTATTATCTGGAAACCACAGGAAAGCCCCATTCCTTTGAAAATATTAATGTATGTCTGTATTCTTTATAAAGCTTTATAAAACATCACAGGTCCTTTGTGCCCTGGCCCAAACTCTTAGTTTGACATAATGGCCATCTCCATCTTTTTCCTTTCTAAAGAAAAATTTCTTAATTTCTTGTCAAAAAAGTCTCATTTCTCAGGGTTGTTTCATATAACTATAACTTTAGGTTTTATAATCTCATCAAAACTATTGGTTTGATTAAATTTAGGCAGAAATTTTATGTAGTCAGTACTTGATTTGGCTTCTTTTTAAAATCATGATTATTTAGACAGAAGAACTACTGATGTATTTGGAAACATTTATAGTTGGAATAAGAATCAGAAGATGGTTTGTTGCTTGTTTACATTGTTATTGAGATTCAGCTAGTACACATACTTGCAACAAATGGAGAAAACTTGCCGGGTTCTAGGTTTTTTGTTCTTCCTGCTTGAGGCTGAAAGTCACGCTGCTTCCTCTTCACTGCTGTATGTTGATTTTTCCACTGTTAATTCTAAGCTTCCTTTAGATGATGTTATGTTGTCAGGCTGTGTAAGAGGGTTTCCTGCCCTATCATAGCCAAACCAATGTGGAGGGTCATTAGAGTTGTATTCCTGCTGCTGAACTTTAGATGACATTCTTTCAGCTGCATTCCTGTAATAACAGTGCTTAGCATTAGCTAGTTGCAGAAGTAGTCCTTAGTGCAAAAATTTCAAACTCAACCAAATTTGGAGTTAAAGAATTCACTGTCACAATTTGAACTCACATCAGAGCTCTCTTGCCTTGCTGAGAGGATACGGGTAAGTGTACAAAAAAGCAGGGTCCCAAAGCCTCAGTAGCTCTGATTCAGCCAGTTCAGAAATTAACGGATACGGGGAATGGGTAAAGAAACTACACATGGCCATGGAAGAGGAACACTGAGGCCTCTATTTACAGTGCTTTAGTAAGCCCCTTTTTTGGTATTTCTAGTTTCTCTGATGAGAGAGTAACCTAACCAGCCTACCTGTGAGGGCTGACCATGCACCAGGCCGGGAGCTCTTAATCCAGAGTTCACAGATCCCTTGTGACTACATGGATGAACTTCAGGGAGGTCCATGAACTCCCTGAAAGTTCATGCACTTTTGTCTGTAATACACATTTTTTTGAGAAGGTTTGTGACTCAGTTGTCCATGACCAAAATGATTGAAAAATACTGTTATAGTCTTTCTTAGGAGGACATAAGGAAGTAAAGAAGGCATCAGAAAAAAAAAAAAAAGTATATCTAACTTAAAAACAAAGCCATTTTGAGGACAGCAGGAGTAAATTCCTTGCCTAGAAGGTTAGTTTGAATCACGAGATTAGTACTAAAAAGGAGATGAGTAATTGACCGCTTCTGTAGAATTAGAAATGAGTAACTATGATGTAAACCCATGAAGGCACGACCTTCCCCACTCTTGCTGTATGTTACATTGAGTTATTAATTGCAAAAGTCTGGAAACAGTCATTGATATGGAGCTGGCTTTACCATACACTTGGAATTAAGTTTGTGCTGAATGGCAATATGAGTTCAGGTAAGGCAAAGAAATGTGAAGAAAAATCCGACAACATAGAGATAACAGTTAAAAATGCTGTTTCAATTTAATCAAACTTTAGATGTATTAAAATAATTGTAACCAAAGTCAACAGGGAGATAATCAAAGCATTGCTAATTCTTCTTCTAAGCACACTGCTTTTTAACTTATATATTTGCTCTCACACAAAACTTCTACAAATGTAAAGAACAAATGGAGTAAAAGCAATTGTCATATCCTAATTTCTAGTTTAGAGCCACCAATCCTTATGGACGAAAACTTGGCAAACAAGTTTATTCTTTTCAGAGAAATATTTATTCTCAGTTTCAAAAATGGTAAGTTTATTGTCAAAGATAATGTTTTGCATTCTGTTAATTTTCTAAATCTTTTCTTAAGGTACTGTCCTGCATTTTAAACCTCTTCTATAATCTTTATATATCTTCCAAGTAGAACATTATTATGCCAAAGTAATGGGTTTATATCTTTGGCTTTTAACCTATTCTTCTCCTAATGATATTTCTCCCTTTTCAATTCTTTATAGGTGAGATTATCATATCTTTTTATGATGGGACAGAATTGAAATGAACTGCACGTTGACCGTCCTACAAGAGTAGCACAGTTAGAGGCAACAATGCATAGGGAAAAGAAATGCTTGTTTTAGGGAGTAAAAGATTTACAAATCCTAGTTCACCAAGTTATATCTTACCTTTAATGTCAGAAGAGCAACAGTTTTGAGAGTTCTAGATAACTGGTAAGAGGATAAGTACTCATAATGCTAAGCCTGGGAATGTGTAAATACTGAGTCCTATGGCTGCTCAGTCAGCTACAAGCCAGGGTACATTACGTGGTAATTGTAATATAAAACAATTATCAAGTAGTGGGGATTCGAGAAAATAACAAGAAAAAGAAAGGCGAGAACGTTGACTTCTTAATATAAGAAAAGAAAAATAGGGTGACTACCTATTTAATGCAGTATGATGGGACAGCATTGAAATGAGCTGCATGTTGAACCCCAGCCATGAGTGAAGTGTCCAGTGGTATATGTATTTCTTTAATGGACTCATTCCTTGCCTTGATCCTTGTCTCCCTTATCCTAGCTCTGCTCTCCAGTCCACCCATAGGCAGCTTTACTGAAACCAAACATCAGTGTGTCCCCTGACTACTGGAATTGATGCTTACTGTCTAGAGAAGAGCAAAGGATCAGATCTCAGACCCCTGCTCCTTCCAGACTCAAGTTCTGGGAGGTTAAGTCTTCCTCCACCTGGTGTGTCTCTAGGGCCTGTTTTAGTCTTAAGTGCTTTCACAGCAAGGGTGGTCCTAGGGAAAAACAGAAAATATGAATCTCTCTTGGAGCAAATCTAGGATTATTTTTAGAAAGCTATGAATACTAGTGTATACTATTCCCTATTCCACTTCTTCCCTGCCCTTCAGGAAATCCTTAGCCATGACTAGCTGTCTTTACCACCTTTGGCATCCTCACATGAACTATGGACCTTGCCAAGAGAAGAGATCGGCAAGTGACTGCCAGACGGTTTTCCTGAGTTCTTTGTCACAGCATTCTATGGAGCCGTGTGTTTGCACACATGCATCTTTTTTTAAAAAAATGTATATTCAGGGTGTACATGTGCAGGTTTGTTATGTGAGTATATTACATAATGCTTGGGTTTTGGCTTCTATTGAACCCATCAGTCAAACAGTGAACATAATGCCCATTAGGTACATTTTTAACCCTTGCCATCCTCCCTGCCTCCTCATTTTTGGAGTTCCCAGTATTTACTGTTTCCATCTTTATGTCCAAGTGGTTAGCTCCTACTTAAAAGTGAGAACATGTGGTATTTGGTTTTCTGTTCCTGCATTAATTCACTTAGGATAGTGGCCTCCAGCTGCATCCATGTTGCTGCAAAGGACATGATTTCATTGTTTATGGCTGTGTAGGATTCCATGGTGTGAATGTTTCACATTTTCTTTATCCAATCCACCCCTGACAGGCACTTAGGTTGATCCCAGGACTTTGCTATTGTGAATGGTGCTGCAAACAAGTGCAGCTGTCTTTTTGATAAAATTATTTATTTTCCTTTGGGTAGATACCCAATAGTGGGATTACTGGGTCAAATGCTAATTCTATTTTTAGTTCTTTGAGAAGTTTTTATACTGCTTTCCATTTTGGCTGACCAAGTTTACATTCCTGCCACAGTGTATAAGCATTCCCGTTTTTCCACGTCCTCACCAGCATCTGTTATTTTTTTACTTTTCAATAACAGCCATTCCCAGCTACTTAGGAGGCTGAGGCAGGGGAATCACTTGAACCTGGGAGGTGAAGGTTGCAGTGAGCTGAGATCATGCCATTGCACTCCAGCCTGACAGAGTGAGACTCCGTCTCAAAACAAAACAAAAAAAACCATTCTGATTGGTGTGAGATGATACTTCACTGTGATTTTGATTTTGTATTTCTCTGATTAGCAATGTTGAGCATGTTTTCATGTTTGTTGGCCACTTGTATGTCTTCTTTTGAGAAGTGTCCGTTCATGTCTTTTGCCCACTTTTTAATGGGGTTGTTTGGTTTTGCTTATTGATTTTTTTAAGTTCCTTATAGATTCTGGATATTAGACCTTTGTCAGATGCAAATTTGCTGTGCAGAAGCTCTTACACATGTATTTTGAATGGTATCAAAAAGGTTAAAAATAATGAAATGAAGGCAGAAATAAAGGTGTTCTTTGAAACCAAAGAGAATGAAGACACAACATACCAGAATCTCTGGGACACATTTAAAGCAGTGTCTAGAGGGAAATTCATAGCAATAAATGCCCAAATGAGGAGCAAGGAAGGTCTAAAATCGACACCCTATCATCAAAATTAAAAGAGTTAGAGGAGAAAGATAAAAAAAAAAAACCTCAAAACCTAGCAGAAGACAAGAAATAACTAAGATCAGAGCAGAACTGAAGGAGACAGAAACACAAAAAACCCTTCAAAAAAATCAATAAATCCAGGAGCTGGTTTTTTGGTAAGATCAACAAAATAGACAGCTAGCAAGACTAATAAGAAAGAAAAGAGTGAAGAATCAAATAGATGCAATAAAAAACAATAAGGGGACATCACCACTGATTCCACAGAAATACAAACTACCATCAGAGATTACTACAAATAACTCTATGCACACAAACCAATAAATCTGGAAGAAATGGATAAATTCCTGGATTTACTGGAGGGTTTAGTCTTGCGCTCTCCCAAGACTAAACCAGGAAGAAGTTGAATCCCTGAATAGACCAATAAAAAGGTCTGAAGTTGAGGCAGCAATTAATAGCCTACCAACTATAAAAAGCCTAGGTCCAGATGGGTTTACAGCCAAATTCTACCAGACATACAAAGAGGAGCTGGTACCATTCCTTCTGAAACTATTCCAAACAATACAAAAAGAAGGAATCCTCCCCAACTTATTTTATGAGACCGACATCATCCTAAAACCAAAACTGGGCAGAGACACAACTAAAAAAGAAAACTTCAGGCCAATATCCGTGATGAACATCAATGTAAAAGTCTTCACTAAAATACTGGCAAACAGAAAGCAACAGCACATCAAAAAGCTTATTCATCATGATCAAGTAGGCTTCATCCTGGGAATGCAAGGCTGGTTCAACATACCCAAGTCTATAAATGTAATCCATCACATAAACAGAACCAAAGACAAAAGCTACATGATTATCTCAATAGATGCAGAAAAGGCCTTTGACAAAATTCAACAGCCCTTTATGCTAAAAACCCTCAATAAACTAGGTATCGATGGTACGTATCATAAGATAATAAAAGCTATTTACGACAAACCCACAGCCAATATACTGAACGGGCAAAAACTAGAAGCATTCACTAAGAAATCTGGCACAAGACAAGGATGCCCTCTCTCATCACTCATATTCAATATAGTATTGGAAGTTCTAGGGAGAGCAATCAGGTAAGAAAAAGAAATAAGGGATATTCAATTAGGAAAAGAGGAAGCCAAATTGTCTCTATTTGCAGATGACATGATTGTATATTTAGAAGACCCCACCATTTCAGCCCAAAATTCCCTGAAACTGATAAGCAATTTCAGCAAAGTCTCATGATATAAAA